TATATATATATATATATATATATATATACTATTGTGCTCAATCCTCACAAAACTCTATTGTATCAGAGAAGGTAGCTTTTGGCTTTGAACCTTTCCTAGTAAACATCATCGGATGCACTGGCGGACTAGTGGACATGATGTCTTGAACTATTCCTCCATAGTGTACACCAAGACAATGACATTTACACAATAGAGATTTCACTCCATTCTGTTCTATCGTTGTGTCTGTTTTGGCCATGGACAACACAATGGATTCATAAGTGTTTTACATTTGAAGCGGCCCACACTTCACACTTATATAGGTGACCTCCCTATCAAGAGTATCCTGTTATACTCCACCTTTACAAGGTTAGGGATTCATTAAAAGTCCACATGACTTACCCTCACCACAATCAACAGGTCATCTTTCACTTGGAGTTCTCTAGAGAATAGCTTTGAACATTCATATGTTCCAAGTGTTCAACTGAATTTTCATAGCTTAGTTTTCCCTTTGAACCATGTTCATGGGATCTCCACTCAGCATGGTAGGGTTACCACTATGATCATTCTTTTCATTGTGGGATTTTAAGCCCATTCCCTCTAGCAAAACTACCAATTGATCTCTATTCAATCCTTTCGTCAAAGGATCAGCCAAATTTTCTTTAGACTTCACATAGTCAATGGAAATAACACCATCTGTGATCAATTGGCGTACGGTATTATGTCTACGACGAATATGTCTAGACTTACCGTTATACAAGTTACTTTGCGCCCTACCTATAGCAGCTTGGCTATCACAGTGAATCATCACAGGCGGCAAAGTCTTATCCCAACATGGAATATCGGATAAAAAATTTCTAAGCCACTCGGCTTCTTCACCAGCTTTATCTAAAGATATGAACTCCGATTCCATCGTTGACCGAGCTATACACGTTTTTTTTGTGGATTTCCACGAAACTGCACCTCCTCCAATACAGAAAACGTATCCGCTAGTGGAGCGAGAATCTCTCGAATCTGATATCCAGCTTGCATCACAGTACCTTTCAAGTACGGCTGGGTATCTCGAGTATTTTAGCCCGTATTCAAGAGTGTACCTTAAGTACCTAAGTACCCTTCTCAAAGCATTCCAGTGTTCATGACTGGGATTGCTCGTAAATCTACTCAACTTATTCACCGGGTAGGCCAAGTCTGGTCGTGTACAATTCGTCAAGTACATCAGACTTCCTATTATCCGTGAATATTCCAACTGAGCCACTGGTTGACCTTTATTGGCTACCAGATTTATACTGAGATCAATGGGTGTATTACACCTAGACTGTGCATCGTCATAGGTATCAAATTTCTTGAGCACTTTCTCTACATAATGAGATTGTGACAAGACAATTCCATCTTGGGTTCTGATAATCCTTATTCCAAGAATAACATCAGCCAAACCCATATCTTTCATGTCGAAATTTCTTTTCAACATTCTTTTCGTATCCATGATCACTTCATGGCTACTCCCCATGATCAACATATCGTCTACATATAGACATACAATCACAAATGCATTTGATGTACTCTTGACATAAACACATTTGTCACATTCGTTGATTTTGAACTTATTTGATAACATCACGTCATCAAATTTCAAATGCCATTGTTTCGGAGCTTGTTTCAGTCCGTACAAGGATTTGATCAATCTACACACCTTTCTCTCTTGTCCAGGTGCAACAAACCCTTCAGGTTGTTCCATGTATATTTCTTCTTCCAATTCACCATTTAAAAATGCCGTCTTGACATCCATTTGGTGAATCTCAAGATTGTGCAAAGCAGCAATCGAGAGAAGCACTCTTATCGACGCTAAACGCGTAACTGGTGAATAGGTATCAAAGAAATCATACCCTTCCTTTTGTTTAAAGCCTTTGACCACTAAACGTGCTTTAAACTTATCAATCGATCCATCAGCTTTATATTTCTTCTTTAGGATCCATTTACATCCTAAAGGTTTACAACCATCAGGGAGATCAACCAACTCCCAAGTATGATTTTGCATAATGGACTCTATTTCGCTATTTACAGCTTCTTCCCAGAGTGGTCCATATGGGCTGGACAGAGCTTCCTTAAGGGAACTCGGTACATCGTCCAACATATACGTAATAAAATCAGGTCCAAACGTTTTCACCGTTTTTACCCTTTTACTACATCTCGGTTCTTCATCAGTACCATCTGGTACAGAACCACTAGCAGTTTCATATGTTCGTTTATTAGAACTAGATTCTGTCATTTCCTTTAGAGGAAATATATTCTCAAAGAATATAGCATTCCTCGACTCAATCGTGGTACCAACAGATACCTCTGAATTTTCTGATTTATGAACCAGAAATCTATATGTTGTACTATTGTACGCATATCCAACAAATACACAATCGACCGTCTTTGGCCTGATTCTCATTTGTTTGGGTTCCGGTACTGAAACCTTAGCCAAACACCCCCACACTTTTAGGTATTTATAAGACGGCTTACGATTTTTCCATATTTCGTAAGGAGTCTCATCTTTCCCTTTAGGTGGTATTTTATTCAGGATATGATTTGCTGTTAAAACAGCTTCCCCCCACATGTTTTGGGGTAATCCTGAATTTATCAACATGGCATTCATCATTTATTTTAAAGTACGGTTCTTGCGTTCAGCAACATATACTTTGTCGTAGCTATAATTTTTTACAAAAAAAAAATATATACCGTCAATAAAACACANGAAAAACAAAAACAAAAATTACAAAACCAAATAATGCTTTTGATCAATGAAAATACCATATTATGTCATAGTTTATGCGTGGTATATTAAGAGAATTTTTATATTGAAGACGAAACTAACAAAGGAGCAATTTGTTGTTGTTTTGGTATATTACGAGATTATTGCAACATATACCACATATATACTAAATATAAAGTCAATATATACTGCTTATTCAAGACATGAAAATTTATATTGACTTTTATACTCAACATATATTTCGATGATGAAATTTAGCCATGTCCTTCGTTTTAGGAAGAATGTGAAATTTAAACTCAATATGTTGTCATTTGTTTTATATATACTAAATACAAACTCAACATATACTAATCCGGGATTATGTTTTTGATATATTTTCATTCCATATATAATGAATTCCTATTTTAATGTTCCCATTTAATTAGAAATTATGGCCGTAATTATAGGGGTGGGGGGTTATTTTTGGTGACAAATTCTTTAGGCATATATAACGGATTCTTATTTAGGCATTAATGTAATTATATATTATTTATTAAGTAAGAGATGTAATTATTTGTTTATAGATTGTCATTTTGCATATAGATGAAAATTTCCCTAAAATTTACCCCATATCATTTGAGAAAACTAAGCTCAGCTGGGTCAATACAAACTAACAAGAACAGGTGAACCCTCCCATTTGGAGGAAATGACTCCACCTAATTAGTATCCATGTGTACCCTCTCCAAGATGGTCTGATCCGCTACATTTTAGTTTCAGGCCCAATTCTTATAAGCCTAATCTTGTCAAATGGATATCAGCCCAAAAGAACGCCACAGTGTGTTTCCCTCGCTCTATCCCTTCGCCGCTCACAGATGCTCAATTGATTTTACAGTGTTCGTCAGACGACCTTTGTCACTTCTTCTTCATTTGAGTAACTGTAAAAATCGAATCTTTATTTAGATACCTGTTAAATTCGTGGGCTCCTTTTTTTTTTATACATTTTTATTTAAATTGACCGAATTTAGAGCCGAAAGCGAGCCATGTCATATATGCGAGGAGATTTGCTCAGTAAAACTCGAAAGCTCGTTAAAGGGTTTGCTAAAGCCGAGCCTTTATGGCTTAAGTCCATGGAAAAGTACGTCATTTTGTCCTTTTTATATGTTTCTTTAGTTATTTGCTGGAATAGTCATGTTGGTAAAAGCCATGGCTGAAACTTACTTAATCAGGGCGCCACCTGCTACATTTCCACGCGCGGAGAGTAAGCTCAAGCAGATAAGTTTACCGGAGGATGCATACGTGAATGAGTTTTTCCAAAAGCATCCGCATTCTAGGTTTCAAGATGCTATCAAGTATGTGGCTTGATCCCTTTTGTGATTCTTATGCAATGCCTAGCGTGAAGTCTGTGTTCTTGGTAATTGTTTTTGCTTGATTTTTGTGCAAAAATAGTATACGAGAGGATAGATATCGTATTTGGTAGTGATGCACTGATGGTGTTACCAGTGCTTCCTGGTTTTATGCACAAAGGGTAGAAGAGAGGATAGTGGTATCGTATTTGTTAATGACGATGTTGCCAATCTAGTGTGATTTTGAAATTATTGATCAACCTTTAAGTTTTGTATTGATTCCTGGGTAGAAAATTGTGTTGTTAAAGTTTCGAGTGCTAATGTAGCTTAGTAGTTTGGGAATTCGTATTTGCTTCGACAAGCTCAATTAAACTTAATATAGCTTGATTTTTTCACGCATTTATGAGCTAATATTTAGAAAAAGTAGAAAGCATACTGCAAATGCTGGAAGAGTAGATATATGCTTAGGACTAGCAGCTACATAAGCATAGCTATTGTTCTTTTGTGCTTAATATTCTGAAAATTGTATGAAACCACTTTTCCAATGAGCTTGTACTTTAAGTAGGAACCATCATCCAGTAAGAACTGTTTCAAAGGTTCCCTGATTCAACATGATTTTGACATTATTTGTGACTCTCCGTGTTGTTTATATTTTCGTTAAAGCTTGTGAGAGTACTCAGCGACAACATTGAGATAAATGACCCTTGCTTAGAGCAATAGAAAATGAAACTGGAAACATTATATGATTACATAATAACCTTTGCTTAGTTAGAAAGAGGAAAGTGTGTTTAGACTTGAGAAAAATGAAACCAATGGTCTCGTGGAAAAAATCATGATGTTTGAAGCATTTAGCTGGAGAAAGATGTTTACGGAGCTCGTAGTCGTATGTTTCTTTTCTTCCCCCCTTTGATGTGATGAGGGATGAGGATCTTAAGGAAGTTTCACACAATCTTTGCAAACTTAACCGTGTGAGTTCTTATCGAAGCAGGATGTTGTTCTAGCCAATTCTATTTCTTAAGATAAAGATTAAAAGACATGAATGTTTTGTTCAGGGCTTCTGTTTATTCCTTTTGAACACTTTTCTTAAACTGTCATGCTTGCTTGTTTTTTTGTAAATCTATTTCAAATCTCTGCCTGTCATTTCAGCAAAAACTCTATTTCAGCAAAGTTCACGAAAAACAAAAAGAAAAAATATTAGAACTTATATGATATTGAAAATATGCAAGGTATCAAACACATTCTTTTCTTAAACCCCTGTGCTAGCCTTTATTATCAAATAGTCAACCTTTTTAATCTTTATATCTATGCACATCTTTCATGTGTGCACTTTCCCGACAGGATATCCGGTTTTGATCCACCTGCAGCCCGTATATTCGCATGGAGAGTGCTTGAGTTAAAGGAGCAGGGGACCAGTGAAGAGGAAGCTCTGGCAGTGGCAGATGTATGTAGTATTTCTTTTCCTTTATAATTTTTTATGGTGAATTTTAATCCAAACTACGTAAATAACCTTCTAACGTATATTTTTACCGGAACTTACTGTTTTACAATTTTTTTGGGTGCTAGATGGAATATCGGGCCGAAAGAAAAGCCAAAAAGAAGACATATGCTCGTCTGAAGCAAATTGCAAAGCTTCAGGGGAAAAGACTCCCTCCCAACCCATATCCAAGTGCTGTCAAGGAGATTCAGGCTGAGGAACGGAAGTTTGTTCGTGACCGCTTCAAAAATCCCCAGACCCTACAGATTGTGGAGAAACTGAAAAAGGACAGGGCTCAAGAGATGATAAACCGAAGGGGAGGGTTTTCTGGCCAGTGAATTGGCTGATATGATCTGAAACACGGAGCTTATATATTTATTCGAGCTAAAACTTCATTCTGAATAAAGTCTGAAACAGCTCTGGTTGAAATGGAACTGTTGGAAAAATTTAGGCATATATTTATTCTAGCATGATGAACATTTTTTGGTGTTGCCACCTTTACCGAGTGCTTCAGTTCGAGTTTTATGTAGAATGTGCTGCATATTTGATGCCAATGGCTGTAAAAGATGCCCTGGATGATTTGAACATTTTCATTGTATCTTGATATTTTTATTTTACCCGTATTCTTGCTCGACTGCTTGAGGAAAGGTTTGAAATGCAGAAACTTGTACAAGTTATGATTTTCTTTGTTTATTCAGTTTGAGTCTCAAAAGGAGAATTTGTACTGGGATGTCAGCAGAAGATGGAACTAGTTTGAGACTGTATACAAAACACATCTCAACCAACATACAGATTACAGAACTGTTAGAAAACATTGGCCACACTATACGTCGGAATGACCTTTGGTGACCTCAAGCCAACTCGAACCAGGCATTTTCTTGATATCCATATGCACAATCCTCTTCCTCACTTTCCCAGCAGACTTCCAATTCTTGAAATCAGCAAACATATTCGACAGAAGCACATAAGTCGATGGGTCCTTCTCGTCAATATGGAAAGCCTTTTCAGCCGCACGTTTTGCAGTCCTCACATCCCCATGCATCCTGCATGCGCCCAACAATGTCTGCCAGACAATAACACCTGGCTCGAACGGCATCTCCAAAATCCACTTCTCGGCCTCTTCAATTCGCCCTGCCCTGCCAAATAGATTCACCATGCACGCATAATGATCCTCACCAGGATCAATACCATATTCGTCCCTCATGCAAGAGAAATACTCGATCCCTTTTTCGATAAATCCACCCTGGCTACACGCGTACAGCACGCAGATAAATGTGATATAGTTAGGCTCTGCCTTTTCCAGCCTCATCTGTTGGAAAATCTCGAGTGCTTTCTCACAATGCCCATTTTGGGCAAAACCACCAATCATAGTAGTCCATGAAACAACCGAGCGTTGGGTCATCGACCTGAAAACTCTAGAAGCCCCATCCATACACCCGCACTTTGCGTACATGTCGAGCAAAGCATTGTCCACGCACATGTCAACTTCTTCCCTTATTTTGACGGTTAGTCCTTGGATTTTCTTCCCTTCATCCAAACGCGCCAGGCTGGCACATGCGTTGAGCCCCGTGGTAAAAGTAAACCTATTAGGTCTGACTCCAACCTTTCTCATTTCATTGAAAACCCTTAGTGTCTCGGCCAGCTCACCACAATTTAAACACCCGGCTGCCATCTGAGTCCAAGAATAGACATCTTTTACAGGGATCTCGTCGAATGCTCTAAAGGCATGGTCAAGCTTGTGACTTTTCAAGTACATATCGGTTAACGCATTCCCCAAGCACCTTTCACGCCCATGGCCCGATTTCACGACCAATGCATGAACCCGCGAACCCATTTCAAGATACGAGAGCTCAGCCAGGCCCGTTAGAATGGTTGCGAACGTGAACTCGTCGGGTTTTATTCCTTCGGTCATCATCTGGTGCCAAAATCTCGGTATATCATCACAGCTGAATTTCAAAAGGCCGTCGAGCATGGCATTCCAAGACACAACATCCTTGTGGTAACTCCCGTTGAAAACCTTGATAGCTTCATCCAACCTGCCATGCCTAATTAGGGAAGTCAAAAATGCGTTGGCCAAGTACACGTTGCTCTCGAACCCAAGCCTGATTATCAGTGCATAAACTTGAAATGCGCAGGTTAAGTCTAAACTCCCACTAGAGGAGCACGCGTGGAGCAGGCTCACGAAAGTGAACTCATTCGGCCTGATTTCACTCCTATGCATATCCGGAAACAGAGAAATTGCTTCATTTGGAAAACCCTTTTGTGCGAGGCCTGCAATGAGGACCGTCCAAGTCGCCACATTCTTCTCAGGCATTTCATCAAACAGCTTGATGCCATTCCAGACGTCCCCACTTTTGACATACGCATTTACCAAATGGTTGTAGATGAATACAGAATCGGGCGTGGGTTCGGATGTTTTTACGAGCTTTGCATGGATTGCCGCGACTTTTCTCAAGTTCGAGACCTCCACACATTGACGGAGAGAGGTGGCGTAGCTGGTGGCCAATGTGTGAACCGTCTTGAACTGAGAAATTAACATTTTGATGGAACAATAAGTAGGATAAATTTTACTCTCTCAGGCGCACTTTCTAGAGTTGTATGCTTTCATGAGAAAAAAGAGTGCTTATGTTATAACAGAAGAAGAAAAATGCTTATGTTATAACATAAGAAAGACATGATAAATGAGAGAAATAAAACTACATGATGTACTATATCTGCGGTTTCCTATTCTCAAAAGGAAATTCAAAGTTCAAGTGGTGAAGCAAGCAGGGTTTACAGGTGTTAGCTCGCTTTTTAAATATGAGCTGAAAATAACTCTTTTTAGTTTTTATGATGAACTGACTGCAAAAACAGACTGTATCTCATTTAGAATGATGTTTGGCTAATGTGAAAAACTCTTTCAGTTGTACATTAAAACCAATTTTCCACAAGATTCTGCAAAAACTTAAAAAAAAATTAAANAAAAAAGAACAAGTAAAACAAGAAAAGAAGCATAGAAGTACTTAAAAGAACTACTTCATAAACTTCATTGTCATTGGTGCAGAAATTTTGTTAACATAGACACTTTCAGATGCTACATACTTACTACATTCACTCCAGTTTCTTACAACTCGGACCTGCCCAAAAAATCTCCCACACTTGGAAACATTCTCAAAACACCATCAGTTGATACCAAAAACTTCCTACCGAAACAACATAACCGAATCATTCAAGAGGAACCAGAGTCATGGCGTACGGGACAACGATTGGCGAAAACATCGACGTGGGCCCCAGAGCCGACACGTGGCACAACTTCTTCATCCTCCCTGTCTCGAACTCGTACAGGTACATTTTCACTGACACCCTCACGAGCAGCTTCCCGTCCTTGAATGCCAATGGGGCCATCCACGCGGGCCCCACCCCACATGCCATGTTGTCCGACAGCTTGTACAAAGAGTCCGGATTTTCCTTTTCCAGTACGTCCAGAGGCACATTAACCCTCAGCTCCCAAGTTGCCCCAAAATGGTCCTCAAGAGCCCACAGCTGAAGCCCGTCCTCACAAACCACCACGTAGTGCAACTTCCCGCCTGACTCGCCCAAACACATTTCGGGAACTCCGGCAAACTCATCCAGTGGCAGAGGGGCCGGCACCAGCCAAGAAAGCTCGTTCTTGATGTCGAACATGAGGACTCCGTAACCTTCGGTAAGCCAAAACGAGACCCCTCTCAACATAACCTTTTTGTTCCTGACCAAACCACGTTTCAACACACAACACTCGTTCGACCTCCTCCAAGACCCCGTCTCGGACGAATATATGTCGAACGATATCCAATACTCAGATATGTTTCCATCTTCGTCGTCTTTTCCAATTTCGCTGACGGCCACCAGCTGGAAATTCGTAGATTTATCCATCGGATCACTAAACGGGTCGAATGATAGGGATATGATACTGTCCCGGGAAACATCGTAATTCTTGGGCCACTCTATGCTGGCCCATTGTTTTCTCAGAGGGTTGCAGACATATATTTTGGGCCGTGAGGTGGGGAAGCAGTTTCGGCAGCACAACACACCGTTGTCTAGAGAGAGAATCACCACGTACTCCGGGAGGAAACCCAAGACATCGGGCCAAATTTTGACATTTTGAACGTCGGCTGGGATGTAGCTGATGGACTCCTTGTTCTCGGCAGTTGCGAACTGGAACACCTCCTGGAAGAAAAATCCCGATACGGGTTCGGTTTTCTTGAGCTGGGCAGTGATAAAAGTGCGGTCGCATATAAGATTGAGCCAGTCCTTGGAGACAAGCTTCAGATGATGCAGTATTTTGGAGGGCAGTAGGGATAGTATGGCGATAGATAGGTCATCACTTTCAAACCAAGACAACCTACTTTTCTTCAACATTCTGGAAAAATAGAGTAAAGAATTCAGCTGCACAGATTTTTGAGCAGACAATTAAAATCGTTGTAGCTTCTCAGATATGCATTCACATGAAAAAATAGCTGTGGAAGTTGAATTACTGTAGCTTCTCAGATATGCATTCACATGAAAAAATAGCTGTACAAGTTGAATCTAGTAATTGTCAGGTCAGCATTAACTTGCACAATATTACAAGAAAACTGGCTTCAGGAATCTGGGGGATAATACAGAAATCGGATTTGTATCCTTCTGAATGAGCTAAAAGGTNTCAGGGGCTTGAGAAACCATTGCAGACAAAATCAAGAACTAACAAAAAATTATACAAAAATAAAAGGGAGCTCAGCATTCAAACACACAGGCCACAGAACAGAGGGATTAGCAAGAAAGTTCATAAAAGAACATACCTTATAACAGAAAGTGCATAGATTTTGTCAGGTGTACAAAATCCCTCTTATGCGTGCGTGTTTTTGTGTGTGTGTGTGTGTGTTCCACTATCAGCGAAACCCTTTTCATGAAACAAAATATGTATGCTCTCACCACAATAAGAGCCGAAAACCAATACATACAAGGATAATAGAAATCACTATAAGTACAGCCTTTTCATTTTCTGTAACCATTTTGAAGCTCGAGAATATCACCTGACCAAATATGTGCATTCGAAGAAAAGGGATTCAAGAACAAACAAACCTCAGAACAATCTGTATTATGGAAGCTGCTGAGACAAAGACCAACAAAGAAGAAGCAGAGTCTTGGAAGAGAAAGTGTAATAGTGAGCAAAAAAATAAAAGCACATGGAAATTTTGGGGAAAAATGGTGTCTTGATGAGCACGCACCATGAACACAGGTGAGACAACTGGGGAGATGAAGTGGTGCTTTGCAGTACGGCGAATCACCAGCTCCTCAATGAGAAGCTGACACGTGGTTTGACCTTTCCTTTTCTGCATTTGAAGCAGTTTCAAATTTTGTCCCTATGCTATACTCACGCCTCAACATACTGTGTGTGAAAGAAAAATTCTAATGAGTAATCTATTAAAATAATATAATAAGTTTTGACTGTTTGAGAAAACAATTATTTCTATTTTTTATGAAAAGTGTACATCTTTTATTAAAAATATGACATAAATTAGATGAGCTAAGAGGAGTTTTATTATTGTATTGTATTTGTCTTAAAAGTTATTTGTTGTGTGAGTGTAAATTGTGATAATAGACCTTTATTAGTATCCAAATATACAATTTCAATTTTTTCCTTGGAAATAACTTTGAAGATTAACTTTGTATGTGAACACAAACAGTTCATATTTATTTATTTATTAAAAGCATTTTGATTTTTTTAATTATTATTTGGCAGCAAGAGAGTCCTGTTGGTGTTTGGTTGAAACTTGAGTCAAAAAGCATAAACAGCAGTAAACTTATCTTCCGAAAGTTGAGCACAAATGGAGAGATGGACAAGACAACAGAAAATAGCTTGCTAAAAAATTCTTCAGGTAACCTTATCTCTGCAGAGAGTGATGACAATCTCACAGAAATCTTTCAGCAAATCAAAACTTCCAAAAGAAGTGTAAGCAAAGATTCAATTTTTTTGTTCCTTTTGCTCCAACTATTTATCTCTTAGTTTGTTGCGTGAAAGTATTGATTGAGCTGATTTTATGCCCTGAAAAATCCTTTTTACAGACAGTCATCAACTATGGTGCGTCTTGGTATGTACGGATTTTGCTAGATATTTGAGTTTTTTTTACTTGCATTTGTGCATTTCTTCCTAGTTGACAACGTGTTCGATGAAATGCTTTGTTATTTTTTTTGGATCGGTAAAAGTTTCTTGTTATTGAACTCATTAGTCGTTGTTCTCTTTCAAAGTTTATGATAGATGCATATAGATGTGATAATTATTTTGCATTTCTCAGGTGCCGCATTTGCAGTCAGATTCTTCCCGTGTTCTGCCGATTAAGTTCAAAGTTCCCCAAGCTCTCGTTTGTTTATGCCGATATTGATGAATGTCCCGAGATGACTCAACACATTCGTTGCACGCCGACCTTCCATTTCTACAGAGATGGCGAAAGGGTTGATGAGATGTTTGGCGCTGGTGAAGACCGCCTGCACGATCGCCTTTGGCTGCATTCCTAGAGGAAAAAAAATCGCAACTTCTAAAATTACACTATGTAGTACTCTCTGATTGGTCTCCTTGCCAATGCTGTTAGGATGAAATGTCTGTATGTTTTGATGTTTGTCCAAATACCTTGTCACATTTCATGTAATAATCTTGTCATTGTTGATAATAAATAACTAATCAATCAATCAATTTACATTGTTTGATACCTTTGCTTTGTTGTATAAGGATTTTTATCTTTTTGAAATGAAATAAGTAATTTGCCTTTGTCATTTTGCCTATTCCTCTTCCATAAGGCTAACAATCCCACTTGAAACTTTTGTAAATTTTCTTGATAAATCACACACCATGTTACAGATGAACTACAGCGAGAGCACAGTTACAGATGATCACATTGGTTAAGCGAATTTCTCTAACCCAATGTTTTTCGAATTTTCTACACTTGTGTCAGTTATGAGGTTCGGATTTTCTTTTCCAGACCCAGGCAAGTCTAAGTTAGATTTCAATCTACAAAAGCGTTTTCTGATATTATTTCTTGTCACAGTATCACTTGAATCCTGCTTACGACCTTCAGCCTGTTTTGTGTGCCGTCTAGACCTTTTTGAAGTAGCAGGAAGATGTTGATTCCTGTCAATCTTCGTTCCAAACGGCCTGAAATCATATCCAATCCACCCAGGACATTCTCAGTACTTGAATTTAGATTAAAAGACGATACATTAGGCTTATTTTTAACACCTTTCCCAGCCTGTTCTAACCCGGGCTCAAAACTGCCTCCACATACGCTCTCAGAATTTAGAGCCCGGCCATTGTGAGTATCTGCATTCGTTTCATCTAACGGCACTTCCTGAAAATGTTGAGAGGATGGAATTAAAAATGATCTGTGGTAGCCTCAGGAAAACAACAAGAAGTTGTTGCTAAGGAGTACATTAATGTTGTAAGCAGACATGGAGCCGATTGTTGGCATTCAAGAAATGGATAACTCGTCTTGAAAATGAAATCATAAACTTGCAGGAATTGTAAAAAACCAATTTGAAGAGCACTTTACAAGAAATGTTAGTTGGGCATAATGAAGAAAACTTGGCCACAGAAAATACACTCAACTTGATATAAAAGTAATAAAAATTAAAATCAAAGACCATAGAAACAAGAGAAGCTATTATGAGTCGGCAAAAAAGGTTTTTTCGTCCCTTAAGTCACCTTAAGTCACCCCTATTTTCTTTTGGTCCCGCTAATGGTCCATTTTGAAAATATTCCTGTAAGTGAAAAAAATTGTTTTTTAGTCCGTTGACCGTCAATAGCAGGTCAGAGTAACCGGATGGGTTACGTGGAAATTCACCAGATTTTTCATTTTTTTTTTATTGAGTTATATGCTTAGGTGGCGATTATGTGGCCAGTGGCATAATTGCAAAAAAATTACAAGAAGAGGGTCGAACTTGAGACATCTAGCATTAAAATGGGCTTTCAAGACTCTTGACCTAACAAATATTGTGTTATATATTTGACTTCACTTGTATATCTGCCAATATTGTTTTATCCATTATATATATATATAATTCAATTTATACTACTATTAATTATAAAATTTATAATACATATTATAACTTATTTATATATTTAATAAATATATTTATTAATAAAATAAATATATAAATTAAATAATATAATAAATAAATATATTCAATAATATAGTAAATGAAAATATAAAATATAATACTTAAATTTTATTTGTATTTTAAATAAATATTTACCAAATAAATAAATATATTAAATATTACAATAAATTATATAATAAATAAATATAAATTAAATAATACTAAAATTTTATTTTTATATTACATAAATATTTACCAAAATGATATATAATAAATAATAATATTTACCAAATAAATAAAAATATTAAATAATATAATAAATAAATATGTTAATAATATAAAAAATATTAAATTCACTAAATTAATTATTAAATAATAATATTAAATATAATAAATAAGAATATTAAATAATATTTACAAAATTAATATATATTTAAATATTAATATTAATATTAATATTATATTAAGTATATTATTATTTAATAATATTAAATAATAAAGCTTATAATACAATTAATATATTTAATAATATTTAATATTATTAAATAATATAGTGAATATTAATATATTTATTTAGTAAATATTATTTACTAAATATTAATTTAGTAAATAAATATTATTTAATATACTAAAAGTTTAATTAAACACGGTAATAAAATAATACTATTATTTATTTAGTTTACTCAAACTTATTTCGTAATTAATACGTATTTAAGAAATAAATCATGTATAAATTTATAATTAAAAGTAGTATAAATTAAATAATATATATATATATATATATATATATATAAGTGAAGTCAAATATATAACACAATATCGATTAGGTCAAGTGGCTTGAAAGCCCATAATGCTAGAGGTCTCAAGTTCGACCCCTCTCCTTGCAATTTGTTTGCAATTATGTCACATAATTGCCACCTAAGCATACAACTCAGCAACAAAAAAAAGAAAAAAAAATCGGTGAATTTCCACGTAGCCCATCCGATTATTCTGACCTGCTATAAGCGGTCAGAGGACCAAAAAATGATTTTTTTTTTTTTTTTCACTTATAGAACTATTTCAAAAAACGGACTATTAGCGGGATCAAAAGCAAAATGAGGATAACTTAAGGGACGAAAAAACCTTTTTTGCCTGAGGAGTCAAGGTAGAATAGGACTTAATAAAAGGAAGCAAAATATTGATTTATGTTTATTACTTCATTATTTTTTTGTGTCAAAATCTTCTCAATAGATTGCATCAATTATAATACTATGAGGGCCCTCTCTATAATTCATTATATTAACCATTAAAACACTTATTTACATTTCTTGCAAAGGCCTCACACCATCAATTTTGCAATCTAGTGCATTTTGTCACTTAACTCTCTGCAGAAAGAACTAAAACTACAGTCATTATCATTGAAACAAAGTCATGTGCAGTATGATAGATAAATCTTTCTTTTCTAAAATTTAGTATCTATCTCATAATTATTTTGCTTATCAAGCTTAAGATACTAATTTTTAGAGGTCTCGTATTTTAAATATTGCTGCTGGCCCATCTCATTAATCAATTATTTCTTTTGTGAATTATTTGGGTTTTGAAAATCGTCATGATTCCTTGCCCAACCCTTTCTATTGTTTCTATTGCAGGACACTTGGAAGTGCCCTAATCAAACGAATTGGACAATAATATATGTAGCCAAACATTACATCTGATAATGTTACAAGTCTTTGTTTTCACAATAATTATTATCTTTAATAATGTCACAAGTCTTTTATTTTTCCTTTGGTTCTTCTATTACTTGCACTATAAGAAAATGATGAAATTTCAATGGAAAATTCCCATCGCAAATATATTCCAATGAAAATGTCAATGAGTATTTCAATGCTATTATTTCCGTTGGAGTTTTTCAACGGATTCCAACAAAAACATCCCGTTGAAGTCCGACCAAGCTCGATCTCTTGATATTCGAGTTTGATTCTTTAATGAGGCAAGCTCGAGTACTAAATGAGTTGAATAATGGCTCATTATCAATGTTAGCGAGTCAAACTCGAGACTTAATAAGTCGAGATATTGAAAATCACATAAAAATTCATATTCTTGAGACTTAACAAGTCGAACTCGGTTCTCCTCGCTAACTAAAGGAGTTTGAGCTTGATTCATTTACAATTGAGTCAAACTGAGCCGATCCTTAATTACAAGCTATTCGTTATATTTAATAGCTCTAATTTTGATTTGTATAATGCATTATTGATACAATATCTAATGCAACGATTGAACCCGCTTTAGCAACCTTATAAATGATGTAAGAGATTAAGTTATCATAAATAATAATAATAATAAAAAAAAAAAACCTTAAACGTCAGAGTTCTAACTGGCATTGAGGGAACACACCTTAATTATATATTTAATTAGCCAATCATAATTAATCAATTCATGTATTGTCACCAAATTTAAGGTAATAAATTTTATTTTGATAACTCACACATTCATACTTTTTTCTCTTAAAAAGGTAAGCTCATATATTAGTAGCTCTAAGCTATTATTCAATCCTCAGTAATAGTTCTTCGTTATAATTTAAAAGGCTAGAAAACTTTTGGTTTAATAAAACTCGGTGAGGGGTTAGGCATGAATTCCTATGGTACGTCTAAACGGAAGTTAAAATTTTGAGAAAGCTCGAGTAAATAATATTTGATTCCGTACGGTCTCTTAAAAAGTTATGAGAACGTCTTTTTTATTCTTATTATTTTGTCAAATATTTCCTTTGGTAAAAGCAACTCCTATTTCGAAAAGAATCTGAAAATAATATAAAATTAATATTGAGCTAATAAAGCCTAAAACTGTATATTCTAAGTTTGCTTTCAAACTAGTATGAATATGGTAGGTTTATTTGATGTATATAGAAGGTTGACTCTATTATGGAGCCAACTGTTGCTCCATAGTCAAAACGTTATTATATATGAACACTGCACCATAATACAATTTGTCATACCTAATTGGTATATATAGTGAATGACCAAAATAATTGGTATATACACCTTAGCACCATTATGAAGATTGGCATAATGAATGAATCCAATAATAATAAATCTTATAAGAAAAGCAATATATGTAATGTAGATGTTAATACTTATATAGGCATGCAGCTGCTTGTCTCCTAGAATGGGTGATTTTGACCAAGTTTTAGGGCACTTTGACAAAAGAAAATATATGACTCACGCATGATCAATATAATAATGATAATATGAGGGAAAAAAAAATAAAG